GGGGAAATCATTCTCTTTGCCACAAGCTGGGCTTGCACTTTCTTAGAGAGACTATCCTCCAAGAAGAATGACAGCATCGTTTCATCAAGTGACCCAGAAAGACACATGTTTACATTTAAGTAACTAAAAGCCCTCTGGCAGCTGTAGTACTATGGACAGGAAGAAAGGCGGAAGCAAGGTGACATTGTTACAGTTTCAATGTCTGCGTATGGAGGCGGTCATCCTTAACTATGATGCTATTTTAACCTAAACCATGATCTTCCGCTAACCAAATTATTTTTTCACCAGTGATTTGTAACGATTTTGGAAAGCAGATGATGATAAGAATACGGTCAGAAATTACCATAAAGTTATTGCTGCGAATAAGATCAGAAATCATGTGTCTCGTGTTATACGGTCTATTCATCAGCAGTTTGTTTGCCAAATGTCATCTACAAACAAACTGTTATCCTACATAGTGTCATGTCTGATGTTAGAGGCCCCAGAGAGCTGTAACGACGTTACGACTCTTCTGAAGAAATTATAAAAACAAAGAAAACGTAGATAAAAGAAATCAAAATAGACTAATTGGGGACTTGGGAGGGATACTGCTGCGTATAAAAGTACTGCCAACATCAATCACCGTTATAGAGCATATAAAAATCCATTGTACAAACCTTGCTTTACAGCTGAAGTGTCTCAGACCCAAAAGACAAGTGTCATCAGTCATGCAGTTCAAAATGTCTTAGTTTTTTTCCATATGAGCAGCTCATCAACAGGGCATTCGGATAGCAGATAAACCAGCCAGTGTTTGTGCCACAAATGTGCTGTGGGACTTTACAGCGGTACAGTTAGTTACGATGTGTGTCGATCTATTTAAGAAGCATAGGCGTACGTCGCATCAGAGACCTTGTCTTTGCAAAAAATCCCATTTAATCTTTCTAAGGCTATTTACAAAATAAGACAGTAGTTTATTAAGGCGACGAAATACAGCAGACATCTTCTAGGGCAGCATGGAAACAGATCAGGCCAAAACATCCTTCATCTCGCAGAAGCAAGATGGAAATTCTGCCGGAGGAAGAAACAATAAACTGGCAACAAACGCAGCAAAACCTCCGTTTTTAATCCAGCTGCAATTCATTTGGGAAGACGGGTACTAAGCACCTCACACACTGTGTGTACATGTGTAGCTTTTAACAAGTTTAAATTAAGTGTGCCATTTGTAATCTGCAAGGCTATTGCAGTAAATCATTTTAAGCTATTGTGCATAACAATAAAAAAAAAAAAGTTAAAAGTTTACAGGGGAAAAGTCACCTTAGTATTGCTACCTAGACTGTAAACTTCTCACTTGCCCTGTTTTATATGGATGCATACTGTATCACAGAGTGGGCAAGAAGCTACAGATTGTGAGGCTTCTATGAACAGTAAAACACACATAAACCTCTTCTGCTGATGGCCTTGTACAAACTCAGACAAAGGTTGCTCTTAAATTAAAAAGGGACGGTTTCCAGTCATACTTTGATCCCTGGCTTTTGCCGTCTTCTTCTGTCTTCTACTGCTACGCTGGCTTCTTGCATGTACACAAATTGAGCAAATTAGACATACCTTTATTCTATTCTTATGTCACTTCTATTCGCTATAGAAGAGAGTTAGCATGAAATGTATTCAAACTGTAGTTTTTATGTAATCTTCATTGAAGTTCAACTTTTTTTGCAGTTTTTGTGGTATAGGTCTGAGAAATGAAATTTCCATGTAAAAAGCTTTCCTCTAACTACAGAAACAGCGGAGTCGTAGGCTCCACCGTAGCGGACGCAGCCCTCTCAGACGCTACTGTTGTAGTTTTAAAACAGTGGATAAATTGTTTTGAGCGAAATAACTCTCTTCACTATCACAATTTGATCATTATGGTCTGAAAACATTTGGAAAGTCTAGAAAAGACACTATTTAATTATTTGATCCGCATTCAAGTTAGCGTAGGGCTAAAAGGGGAGTTGACGGTCTCGGCCAAGAGGTCTTCTTCTTTTGGGATTTGGCAGTAGTGGGCAGCAATACGCTATTGCAATCTAGTCTGTTATCAATAATCGTTTTAACAGTTATCAATATTTATGTTTGTAGTCAAATATTGTGCAGATATTCCAATTGTTTCTTAATTTTAGTCCAGTTCCGGCGGAAGTCTGTGGTGCACATGCTCAAATGGAGTGTGCAGCAGTGAGATGGGCAACAATATATATATACGTATATATTATATACCATTATTAAATTGCTGGTTTATATAAGATTCTGAAACTGTAAATTGAGCATACTTATTATTATTAAATATATAGTGTTAATTATCTATATTGATACAAAAAAAAACATATGATAATATTTCTGTCCATATCGTCCAACCCTATTTCATGCCACAAAATAGGGATGGTATGTATAGGAACTACACAATTAAGCATTGTTTTTTTAAAAAGGAAAGGTAATTTGTTTTCTACTCTCACCACTTAAACCAACGAATCCCTGACTTTTTATGTTGAAAATACATACCACACAAGAACAACAAGAACTTGTGAACAACCACACAAGCAGCTATAACTGATTTGTCGTGACAATAATTTGCTCTCTCAGGGATGAGTTATTTCAGGCATATTTACATGGTGAGTCATTTTTGACACGTCTCGTGTATGGTTTTGTCCCTGGTTGAATGCCTGACGCTTGCCTGCTTTCGTGAGAAGTCTGCACTTGATTTGTAAAACAGAATATTTAATAGAGTATTATTTTTGAGTATCTTTTTGTGACTTACTGCAAATTTGCTGTAAGAGCAGTGGCTTGTCTGTCCATTAGCTTTGTGTGTCTGCTTTAACATAATATGTTCGGACTCAACATTCAATTACCAGTTGCCTCTGAGAGAGATTTTGGTTTAATACCAGTTGTTCCTAACCTGAGAGATTCTATTGTAACACTGTTGTCAGTCTCAAATCCCTCAATGAGACACTTTTTCCCCACTTTTTAAGATTTTATCCTCATCGTCTCATCTCTCCTACTATTATATTCTCTCCCTCCAAACGCTCTTCTCCATAAATTTAGATTGAAGTCAAACTCGTCGGTTTGCTCATTATCATAAAATAATGGGCTGTGGATATTGAGGAGATCTTGGCAAAACTTGATCCCGAAATACAACCAAAATCTGCATAGTCAATCATTTTCTTCTTTTCATACTTATTCCTTTCTTCCCTCTTTTCTTTCAACCCCTTATCTTCTTATTTCAGACTTCACTTTTACCTGACTCTTCCAACTCCCATTTCCCGGCAAAAATATGTGATTATCAAATATACTGCTGTGGTAATTCACACAGCAAGGGCCCTCATTCATTAAGTCCGACACTTGTTAGCTTCCAACCCACCCACTACCCAAAGCTAAGCAATGGAGAACCATTTTGCATCGAACTGAAAATGCACAGAGTCTTTTCATTCCCTTGTGGTGTGTTTACAGTGGCTGTGAGCGGTGGGGGGTTGGCAGATTTATTTTCGTTCCCTCCCTCCCTCTCCCATTCTCTCCTCAGCCATCACACCTACGGATGATGCCTCATCCAGTCCAATCAGGCACCCAACACTAAAGTGTAAGAACAAGGAGCCCTCTCAGGCTTATAATTCCTCCTGTTGGCATTAAGCCTAAAAGCCCATAGGTGGCTCTCTGCTCAGTCACAGTTGCCATGTAAAAGTGTTTTCTAAGCTCAATTTGTCTCTCCTCTCAAGTATATGCCCATCACAGGCAGCTGGTCTTATCATCAACCCTTTGACAAACAAGCATACAAATCAGACACACAAACCACCCAGCCTGGCTGGACAACCCAACATGGAGAAATTGGGTTGTATTTGTTGAGCTGGCTACTTTTTGTGGGGCAGGTGAGCAATACAAGGAGAGAAATCTCTCTTTTCATAGGAGGAGACAGTGTGCCTTTCAGGCCTAGACACGGTCGGGTTCACCAGTCTCCCAGGATAGATGAGGACACCGCTGAACAGTGGCCCTGTTGTGGCCCTATAAAAAGTCACAGGCTTTGGCACTCCTGCCTAACACTGGCAAGTGGCAATGAGAATTACAGCAGTGATTCACTGTTTTTTTTCCCCACCATATAGCTCAGCCACAAAACCTGCCACTGCAGTGGGATAATCACTCTAAAATACTGGTTTAGTATTGAGTTGAATTTAAAATACTACAAATCAACACCTATACAAACCTGCCCTTGGACCGGTATGATTGCATTTAAAATGTTATTTGATTTGTTCGAGGGCATTTGGCTCATTATCAGAACCTCCACTGACGATCCCATGAGGCTGCCCTGACTCATGTGCCTTCTTTGAGGGTGATGCTTGAGGGTGAAATGTATAATTATGAAATCAGTTAGACTGTTCTTTCTTCTTCTTTTTTTTCCAGCCCGAGAGTGAGCTGGGTTTCTCTGCATCGCTGGTGCTGGGCAAACCCTGCTCCGTGCACACATCAGTGTCAGAGATCTGATCCTCTACAGGCGAGAATGCCAATACACCCTAAGGAATATAGATTAGAGATGTTTGCAGGAGAGGCAGATAAAGGGTGGCAGTGTTAGGGGGAGCTGTTGGGAGGAAGGGGGAGATGGGTCCGATTGTGCTCACGTATATGTGACAAGGCATGAAAAGCAATATTTTGTAAGCATTCCTGAAAGCGGCGGTAGATTGTCTGTGTGTGTTTGCATGCATGTGCAGGTGTGAGTCAAATTGTCATGTTTGTCTAGATAAGTATGTTTGTTTGTTTGTGCTTGCATTGTGGTCAGGCCTCAGAAGGCATTTCACACAAGTCAGAGCAGAACAGATTTAAGAGTGCTATCCAGGTCAAATACACTGCTGGTATGTTGTTATTTTCCAAGGGGGGGGTAGGAAAAAAGAAAACACAAACAGAAAATATCCACAGGTAGGCTGTTTAGATTTTGGCGAATTCTACTTTGTATCCACACAGCCACATTCGACAAAAAAATATATCCATACAACATTTGAAGAACTCACCGCGGTTTGGAACAGCAGATAAAGTTGAACTCAGTATTTCCCATTCTCTTGCTGAATCCCGGTGGCTCTCAACTCCCGATATCGTAAACTCATGTCACAGTTTGTCAGGGTTGAAAAGCAACTCCGCGGAGAAAGAAAAAAAAAAGACAGCTCTCCAAAAATCCTCTAGTACACACTCGAGGATCCGAAAAGAGGTATAAAAAAAAGTGATAGGCGAGGATGACTGCTCCGGACCAATCCGTCGCACGGTTCTACACCAGTGAGAAACTTTGACTTTCTGCCGGGGGTGAAAAGTCGGCTTATCCCAGTGTAATTCAGTTGCTAGAAGCAGAGGCTCTGACCTTTCTGTGGATAATGACTTAACAAAATGAAATCATCCAGCAGGAGATCTAGTCAAGAGCAGACACGAGTAGAGGAGGAGGAGGAGGAGGACAGAGACTCAAGGAGCGCAAAGGGGCTGTCGATTAGGAGATTAAAAAGACGCGTTTGCGCATTCGTTTCAGCCAGAAACCGGCGGGGGTCCAGTGTCGGACAGATGCGACGGAATGCGGCTACCGGGACGCGGACAGCCGCCCCACGAAGACGGTTAAATATCCCGTCATGAATTCCACCCCAGCGCTGCTTTTTTTTTCCTATACTTGACCCGCCTACTCCGCATCGCCGTGTGGAGGAGCGCGGGAGCCAGATCCTGGAGACACTGTAGGTAGGCGCCCAGCAGCAAATAGCGGGCATGGGCGCTTGAGCTCTCCCCTGTGCCCCTCTCTCACTAAGTCACATGTTTAAGGCACAAGTAACCCTCTGTAATAACTGCCAAAGAAGCGAAAGTAGGCGACGTGGCGAGAATGATAACGCGCGTTTTGTTAACAGTCTCCCTCTCCCCTCGTCACTTTAAATGAAAAGCACTGGTGTGCACTAAACGGAATGACAGTCTTGTCAATAATTCCAAGCCCTAATATAGTTATTTTAATGTCGCAGTTATTTATGAAGGGCGCGATGGGAGTAATTGAATATCCCCATAATTGCTTGACTGGTCCAGTCCAGAAAACGCCTCCGGAGAGGACGTCAACATTTAAGTCCTTATCTGTCTGAGCTGGCACATTAGTAAGAGGAGAGCGAAGGTGTTGAGCATAATGCCTAATCCTCTTTGGTTTGTGGAGCATGTCCATGCATGAACCATGAGTCATTAAGTGACACTGCAAAGGCAGCTCTGCCAAAATCACCATGCAGGAGAGACTATGGCCACTGAGTGAATGAATAGATGCTGGCATTTTCATAATGGCCATGACACCACACATTATAGGAACAGGGATCAGCGCTTTTTAATGCAGAGGCACCTGATTTCATTTCAGATTGTTGTGATCAGATCCACCGCCGGAGCGTGTAGGATTTGAACTGGTCAGGAAGGCAGATTATTTTGTCTGAATTATACAATCTAAATCCCTCAGTGATATGGAAACTCTTCATTCGGTGAATTTGGAATAGCTAGTGAGAACATGACTGCAAACATGCTGTATTTGTGTTCATGTGACTGAAGTATGTTAGGAAGACCGATGAACACAAACATGTAACTAAGGTGAAGGTGCTGCATCATATGCAGTACAATGTGGGTGGTGTCCATGGGTCATTTGTTACCTCCTGATGATTCTGCTGGGGCTACAGAAGAGAAATTCATTCTACCCAGAAACAGCAGAAATTAATCTGTGAAAGCAATCAGGTCTTGGAATTCTACGGGCGCAGCAGCCTCAGTGTGGTGCTAATTAACCCAGTTCCCCGTGTATTTCAGTGTCTATTTAGTATGCTGTGATGTGCTGTAGCTGTCCGTGGTTCTGAAGTTGATTTATGTCGGGTCCCAGCAGAGCTTTCTGCCAGATTCGTTGTGTCACAGACTCTGTTCTATATTCCTGCTGTCAATTCTGATCAGGACGTTGCCGCAAAAACTGACAACGTATAAGAAAAATGTCATTAATTTAGCCATTTCCTTAAGTGTATTCACCTATCTGTGTGCTACATTAGGGAAAATGACAGCGTTGTTTCCATTCCAATCCATTTGCCATTCATATTAAACCTTTGCAGCTCCGTGGTTGTTGTTGCAGATGATAAGCTTGTGGACGGGGTGCTGTCCATGGTGCTGAATCACCAGCCTCACACTGTTTGGAGCCCCTGGGATCATTGAAGTTTCATTTTCTGGATAAAAACCACTTGAATAAGTAATTCAGAGTATTTATATCAGCAAAGCCCTACCAAGAGTGCTCTGCTTACATAACAGCAAACAACTTAATTACTAACCACTTTAGGTGATTGTGTTTTGTTTGACAAAAACACTTCAACAGAACCAACATTTCACTGGGAATATATATATATATTTTATTTTTTTTTTCTCAAAATGGCTCCTTGTCGGTGTCCCCTTCTTCTTGGCCATGAACGGCTTCGTACTGTAATTCCATTAATTTAGCTATCAACCATTAATGACTACCATTAGCATATTAATGAGTGATGTTCATAAAATGGATCTCCATCATGTCTGGTGGAACTGGAGCAACCCAGTGGATTTGCCGCTCGAGTGTCTGTGATGAGCAAGGCTGTGTAACTAATTTACACCTTAAGCACAGTCTCATCTGAGGACCCGAGTGTGTCTGGAGAGCATCACATATATGTAAAGCTCTGTCACTGTCTGAATGCAGAATGTGTTCCCCTATAGGGAGAAGGGTGTCACCTGTAACATTTCGCCTTTTTTACTATCTTTTTTCATTTTTAAATGCAAGCGTTCTGTTCAAAAGGGAGTTCATATCCATGTCAGAGATAAGTCAGTCCTGAATCAGAGATACCATTTTTGTTTTTTCGTGGTGGTGGTTAGGGCCACCAGCTCAACAAGCTTGCATGCTCGTTTTGGTTTTACAATTGCGACTTTAATGCACTGCAGGATTTGTGTTTTCAACCCATTCTGTGCCCTATCTCAGTCAAGGTAGCAGAATGCCTGAAAGACAGGCTCCTGCAAACTCTTAAGGCAATTCCTCCACAGTCGCATACAAGCTGAAGTCCCCTATAATTTGACCTTAGCCGTCTCCAATATCCCTCCGGCAGCCATGGAGGACAGTTGATTCAGATAACTCCATTCCACTGGGCCTGTAAAATGAATTTAGGTCTGTTCAACTAAGGGCCCATTCATTTTGTCTCCATTTCACCGTCTATCATTTCCCCAGAATACCATCAGACCAGCAGTTATCTATTCTATATTTAAAACAGCTAGGATTATTTGGTGCAGGGGATGAATATACCTCATACTTCATACGAGATTACCCCAAGCTATCTTGTGTTACCTTCTATCTATTGCTGCACTACAGATTCAGTATTAGAATATAAGCCAGCGCCGGCAGTATCATACCCTGTTTATTATGGAGCATGCTTATCACCGCATACCCAGAACAAAAGGGTTCATGAAAAGAGAAACTTTTAAACTGCTCATAGGGGAATATTCAACTTTCGTCTCATCACACAGCAAATCCTGTTTCTCCCCCTCTTGACTTTTTAAGAAAACGAGTAGCAATCATCATCATTTACCCTTTGTTGAACACAGCGAAATCTCAAGAACAGCCCATTGAAAAAGACTTAAATGGTACTCAGGGTTAATGTTTTCATCTATCGAACTTCTCATTATATCATATCCAGTTCCCAAATGCACGATACTGTTGTACTTATTATACCATAAACAACACTTTGTGTAATTGCCAATATGAGGCTTAATGATGACCCTGATGAGAAGAGGAATTCAGTTGATACCAGAGGCAGTGTTATAAAAAGGTGAGATAACCTTGTTTTCGACTGAAAGGAACAACAGTGACATTGTGATAGTAATCAGTGTTTTCATTCACGATATTTATCATGGTATGACAGCTTCAGTGCTTAAAGAGTGTGGCTGCTAATTCAGTGGCATTGCAGGACTGATAAAAGTGGAGGGGGATGAGAAAGGTAAGCTGCTTTGTCTACCCTTTGAGTAAAAACAGATCACACTCGCCATCTCATACAGCGATTCTTCCCATTTGATGCTAAAGAACTGCAGGTTTAGAGTGCTTTAGTCAAGTTTTGAGTCATAACTGCAAACTGCATTGTCTTATTGCGGCTAGAGAAGTAAACTCATGACCAAGAAAAATTTGTTGGCACAAATCCCTGGACAGACCATACAAAAAAACATCAACTACAGTCAAAGTGCCCTTAGATTAGGCACTGAACTTACAACCACCCCTGCTAAGCTGTTCATTGGCCAACAAAACAGAGCTGTAATACACATTCGACAAATAATTCCCACTGCAACCACTCTCTTGGTGTTGCTGTAATGTATTCTTTTTTTTTATTCTTTAGTATAAATGTTTAAAACATTTAAAAAACCAGAATAAACTAAATTGTAATTGTGAACTGCAGCCCATCGTTCTTTGCTTTCTTTGTCGTTGCACATTTCAGCAGTGCAGACATCATCAGTCAGTTCTCTGACTGGTAAAGAAATTGGAAATTGAGAGGCCAGATATGGATAAACCAGTGTGCTTTTATACCTAGAGTATCCTGCCATGGAGAAAGCCTATCATTGAAACCCAATGAACAGATAGCTTTGAGATTTATCGGAAATGATATGGTGTTGTGAATGAGTAGGCTATGGCTTCTCCGTTACCCATCCATCACCGATGATGTATTGCAGATAAAGTACTAGGCAGCAACAAGCTCTTGCTGAGAGGCTGACCTCGTTGATGAAAGCAAAAACTCCCCCATGGCCATCCCAGCATACACAGCCTCCTCTTTTCAATACAACAGTCAGAGCTTGTCTCTGTACAAGGGAACTCATATCAACACTATTACTTGTTGGGGGTGGTGTGTGCGCACTGACAGAAAAGAACAAACCCACAATTTATCTTCAGACATGGGATGGAAAGTCCCCCCTCTCCAACATCAAGTTGAAGTCAGAAGGCACTGGGAAGCTGATGCGTCTTCACCTCCAACACTTTCCAGCGCACTGATTAGCCCAGCATGCTGTCGCACTAAACACGTGATTAACGCTGTGAATTCAAGCAAAGCACTTAGTTAGGTTTCGGAAAAATGTCATGCTTGGGCTTAAAGGTGCAGTGTGTAGAATTTGTCGTTATCTAGCGGTGAGGTTTCCATTGAAACCAACTGAAACTTCTCCTGTATGCCATGTGTTGTAGAACTACAGTGGCCGAAGGCAAAAAACAGCAACATGCAAATGGACCTATCAAGAGCCAGTTGTTGTAAGAGTAGCATTCATTCGGAGAATAGTAAAGCCTGTGTGTGTGTGAGCGAACGAGTTGGCAGCAGGGTAGAAGAGAAATAGTTTAGAGGTGAGGATTTCAAATGAATGGACAGTTTGTGTAGAAAAAAAATGCTGCACGGGAAAGAGGTTTCCTGGGTTTTGTTTTCTGGCCCTGGAGACCAAACCAACAGTTTCCCCCCTGTGTTCTAAATCACCTCTGGCCAAATCATTCACACAGATATAACACCGTTACACTGTTGTTTGGTTATCTTTGCACTACTGTTTAGTTAGTTAATTTAATATTATTCTATTTCATTGTATATATTGTGCATTTGATATTTGTTCTGTAAAGTGAAGCCAATGAGAAGGTGCCTTAAACTTGCATTATCTCTACTGGCCATCAGGGGGCGACTCCTCTGGTTGCAAAATGAAGTCAGAAGTCTATTAGAAATTGACCCAACTTCTCACTTGATTTATTACCTCAGTGAACATGAGTTTATGGTCTCAATCGCTAGTTTGAGTCTTCTTCAACACAGCGTGATGTTGATTTAATCAACTATGGTCCCATTAGGGTGTGGCTACCTTGTGATTGACAGATCACTACCAAAGGCCTATACCGGGTCTCCACCAGTGCTTCACTCCTCAGCAGTCCAAATATGGTCACTTCTGTTCCCTGCTGCAAAAAACCCAGATGGCAATGGCCAAATACTGAACTCGCACTCCACAATCCAATGGTTGATGTCACAACGATTACGTTAAAGAGGACCCATTCCGTATGTAGATATAAACAGCTCATTAGAAAAAGGTAACAATTTTTATTTTGAGGTGATTATACACAAAAACAATACATACCTATTAATACTATATTCCATTTCTGCCAA